ACTTATTAGGTTTGGGTTTTGTGATGAAAACCCAAACCCATTTGATTATGCGTTGAACTTGAGGGACTTTTTACGAACCCGAACCCAGAAAACAAGTTGATAGAAAGAAAAAAAACGAAGCTAGGGCTAGACTGGGAAGAGAACATCCGTCTTCATCTTCTTCGTTTCTCACTCGACTCGACCGCCTTCGACGGCCTTCAGCTTCGACCGCCTTCGACCGCCTTCAGCTTCGACCGCCTTCAGCTTCGACGCCTTCGAGTCTTCGACAGCCTTCAACTTCGACAACCTTCAACTTCGACCGCCTTCAGCCGCCTTCGACTGCCTTCGACGCCTTCGACCGTCTTCGACGCCTCTTGCTTCCTGAGGCTTCAGCCGTCAGGTATCTCTCTCTCTCTCTCTTCTCGATACTTTTAACTTTTTTTTCCCTGCAGTTTAAATTCGTGCCGAATAAAATTAGGTAAGCTTTTTAGTTTTCCCCTTGAATCTTTTTAATTTTCCCCTTCTTTTCAGTTTTCCCCTTGAATCTTTTTAATTTTCACCTTCTTTTCAGTTTTCCCCTTAAATCTTTTTAATTTTCCCCTTCTTTTTAGTTTTGCCTTGTCAAATAAAATTAGTTTCAAGTTAGTAATTGAATTATAAAATTAAAATGCAACAAATTTAAATGCTAATGCATAGGAGAGAGTGAGATACTTAACAGTTGACACTCCTTAATATCTGTTCCCTCCCTCTCTTGAATTCGTACCAAGTTGCTGCTGAAATTAAATTGAAATTAGAAACTCCCAAGCAATTGAGAAGTGAAATTATCACTCCTTGTACGCTTTCTAAGCAGTTGATTACTTTTAGGACATGATATTATACATATGCGCACCACCCGATATGACAATCCGATATTTAGTCCATATCCCCCGATATATCCCCGATTTTCGCTATCCGATATGGATTTCAGCCGTCCGATATGAACCCGACATCCGATATTTAAAACCTTGGCTCGCACGACAATGAAGCTGGTCCGTCATAGCCCCACACACAACAGGAGAGCGAGTACGTACAAGCTCAAATCGAAGGAGGACGCCGACGATCGGAGCGGGTACGAAGAGGGAGACAACGGGGGAGGAGCAGATTTTTAGGTTGCATGTGATAGTTTATTAGTCTTTTTGCTTTGACTAAATTTGTCGTATGGATAGACTTGATAAACTTGATATATTTAGATTTGTCTGGACTATTTTGTCGTATGGATATGTATATGATGTAGCTATTGTGTTGTGATGTTGTGGATTTATTAAATGTGTTTTTATCCATTGTTTATTTCTTTAAATTTATAAGTATATAAATATTATATTGTATAACAATTATATGAAGTGGAGGTTATAATTTTATAGCTCAAACAGGTACGCCAAACATTGTATATGAAGCGATATAGCCCCGTGCATGTTTTGTGCATGTTTGAACTGTGCCCAGCAAATCCACAGGACTAGTAGTCCCGTGGATCTGCTGGGCGAGAAGGTCGACTCTCTGCTTAACGCACGAGACTAGTAGTCCCGTGCGTTTCGAATGGGGCTTCAAAAAATCCATCCACGGGTTTTCTGAGATCACTTTAGTGACCAATTAGTGGCCACTAAACATACGGGACTACTAGTCCCGTATGTTTCGGAAACCTTCTTTTTACAAAACTGACATCTTTGTTGGCCAAAAAGATGTCGGTTTTGTTAAATAATTAGAAAACAGTCGGTTTTGCTAATTATTTAGCAAAAAGGGTCTCTTTTGAAAAAAATCCAATCCTAGAATCATTGAAATTGCTATTAGGTCCCCTCATTCTCTTAAGTTGTTAATTTCAAATTAATCCCTCTAAATTAGGGGTGAAAACATTTTGGATATGGCTCATATATATGATATTACCAAGTTACCATATCCGTATTTACTTACCAGATATAGGTATGCATGCACATTGCTAAGGAAAACTCTAATCCATAATTGCTAAAATTGGATACAGACACATACAGATATACATGCGAATGTATTTGCAGATAATATGTGGATACAAAACGGATATGAGAAAATCATATAATATAAAAAAATAGTTTACATGATACAAGAGAGTTCATTAATATGTTCGCTATAACCTATGAAGCACGGATACTCCCCAAGAGGCTACGAATCCGTGTCTGACACGAATCAGACACGATTCGCGCATGATACGTGCACGACACGTGTCGGACACGGTCAATCCGTGTCCGACACGGGTCAACGGTCAAAGTTGGCCAGACACGGTCAACAGGGAGTTGGACACGGCTCAGACACGCCTGCAGCGCCTGACGGAAGCTAAAAAAGAAGCAAAAAGAAGCGGTGGCTAGGGTTATTGGGTTATTGGGTACATACCCGATTTCCACTATAACTGTTAAGCCATTTACTGTTAACTGTTAATGGTTTCTTATTTAACTATAAAGCAATGTTTTTGAATGTTTAACTGTTAATTATTTGAGATAGTAAGTCAGTAAACTGATTTATAATTAATAATAGGTAATTATTAAAGTTTGGTTTGTGGACTATTTTGATTAATAATAGGAGAGATTTAAGGAGAGATTTGTTTAACTGTTGAAATGTAACTATTTTACAAAGTGAGATTTAAGGAGAGATTTATCTTAACTGTTAACTACTGGTTTTTATTATTATTATCACTGTTAAGTGTTAACTGTTTTTTGCAGAACTAATTACTTGTTTCTTTTTTTTTTTACTGAGAATTACTTGTTTCTTATTAATACATATCGGTCATAATTGTTGAAAATGTGCTACTATTTGTTTTCATGTGCGAGATTGCGAGATTGCGAGAGTGCGAGTATTGATTCTTGCTATTTGAGCTATGCGTAGTGCTACTAGTTGACTTGAAAGTTGAAACTTAAAACTTGATTCGCCATTTGTAACCTGTAAAGAAGAAAATAAAATTTAGCAATATAGTTGTTAGTGATGCAGTATACTAGTATGAAAGTTTGAATAGTTTGCAAGCTTGAATGAAAATTAACGTACAAGTTTAATACTTTAATTGACTAAATTTTTCTATCTATAATAATAATTTAAAAAAAAAAATCACTGCCGTATCCCCGTATCCTATTTTTTTGGATTTTGCCGTATCCCGTATCCGTGTCCGTGTCGTATCCGTGTCCCGTATCCGTATCCGTGCATCATAGGCTATAACTGAAAAGCTAAAATAAGATCCCTTGATCATCAAAATTAACCTCAAATCCGTTAATCTGAGGATTAAAACAATTGCACATTGTATGACCAACATATATTCAGACATGGGGTACTTGATCCGAATATTTCACTTCATATTTGTATCTGTAACTATATCCTAACAGATATAGATATTCGGTGACCATGTTAGTAACTTAGTATCCTAACGAATACAGATATATCTCAAAGGTAATTTCATAATAACTTCAAGAATCCGGGGACTTAATAGCAATTTCAGTGATTTGAGGGACTAATTTCAAAATATCTTAAGAATTGAGGGACCTAATAGCCATTTCAATGATTTTAGGGATGACTTTCAAAGTATGAAAAGTTTAAGGGACTAATATCGAAAAACCCAATTTTAAAAGTGCAATCTACAAAGATAATAGTCTTCGTAGCTTCTCGGTGGGCGAAATGTCAAATAAGTTACTTGAGATTTTATTTTGAAGACAGTGCAAAAATAGTTTAGCTTTAACCATCAAAAAAGTTTGCAGCATGATCTATTCATGTTACATAGAGAAAAAAAACTTTAACCGGAAGTCCCGACCAATTAGAAATTTATGTTCATGGGATCCTTCTTTAGATAAAAAGACAATCCACGAGATAAAATTCCACATGGATATAGTATGTGTCATTAGTAAGGTGTAACATATTATGTTCTCTTTAAACTGAGAGGTGCTTACTACTACGGTCAGGATGAGAAGGAGACAAGAAGTTTGAAACCAAGGAGGGAAACCAAAATGTCAAATCTAATTCTCAATAACAAACATGCCCAGATGGATAAAGTGAGACAACAAGTTTGAAACCAAGAAGGGAAACCAAAAAGTCAATCTAATTCTCAATAACAAACATGCCCAGATGGATAAGTGACTTGACTACACACACGTTAAATTTTCAAACAGCATTTAACAGATTTACAACCATTTTATTTTAATCATTTGGAGGGATCTGTGATTTAAAATAGGAAACAGGATTATTCTCAATAACAAAAGCTTCTCATGGCTCAATCAATTAGGGAAATCTTGGATGGATTTACCAGTCACAAGTCCTCAGTGATAGCCACATCTTGTCCATAACAACAGCTAACTCAATAAGTTCATAGCTATAGAGGGTTCCATTATGGCACACTGGCAATCAATCATGTACCGGAACGAAAGCTTTTAATCATAACAAACATATCAAGGAACCCTTCCCCTACACCAAAACTCTGAAGTTGTGGTGGGGGTTGAGGGTAATTCTATATTCTAACATTGCCCCACAGGTTGATTTGCTTTAAATTCCTAGCTAGTAGGGTTTGATTTTGGTTACTTTGGTACGATGTCAAAGGGATCCTTCGCCAAAACTCCAAAGCTGTACTGAGGGTTGAGAATTATCATTTTGAGTTTTTGCATATATACCCCTCAAAACTTCAATATTTGCAAAATTGTCCCTCAAATCTTATTATCTGCAAATTTGACCCTCAAAACTAGCATATTGGGTCTTTCTACTATTCCAACTTAAGAATGTTGCTTTTTAAACAAGCCTATGTCAAAATTCCCAATAGTTTCTACTAATATTTTCAACAATTTCTCTTTTAAAAACTAAAATATGTAAGTAAAATAGGTAGAATAAATCCATGTAAGAGAACTGGGAGGGAAATTTTGCAAATACCAAGGTTTCAAGGGTAATTTTGCAAATATGGAAGATTTGAGCGGTATATATGCAAAAACCCCTATAATTTTATATTCTAACAGGTTCCATCATGGCATACTGGTAATTAATCAGGGACTTACCTGTACTCCAAAGATACGAACAGCAAAACTCAAAAGGCCACAGCACAAATTCCGCAATGTCAAGCAACACGTTGCACATGGAAGCTAATATGAACCAAATCGTAGAAAAAAACATCTCCGCAACTTCAACACAAGCACTCCACAAAGGGGAAATGAATTCCATAAGTTCACCAAGAGGTCCACTAAATGGTCTAATAATTGCTGACAGTAGCGTCGCTATTGAACGTGACATCATCAAGAACCATTTCAACGCTTTCTCAATATTTTGGAGGAAGAGCATCGTTCCAAGATATCGAAGCCTTGTGACCATATCCCATCCTTCTATCCAATTGAACAGAGGACCAGAGAGACGAGCAACAGTAGCTTTTAATAATGGCACATTCTTATATAAATCATAGAAACCGAAGATGACAGTCACAAGTGAGATTAGTATGTAGAGAGTTCTTGCTAAGTGCCTCATCCAAGTACGATAAAAATGGCAGAAGAAAGGATAGGATTCGAAGAAAATAACCCAGGAAGGTAAACCAGTCTCGAGCAGTATCAGAAGTCTCATATCAGACATTATGATTTCCTTAAATTTCAATGGCAAAATGCAATCGCTGAATCTAAAGAGTATCAGCGTGTTAGAATACTGACTTGGTGCTATAACTGATCCTTCATCACAACTGCATATTTTTTCGTGTTGGATTTCTCCCTTATCGCCTGTTTCAGTGAAAGATTCTTGAACATCTAAGAAATCATCATCTGAAGGAGACGGTCTTTGAAACAAAACAGAAGAAGAATGAGCGCTTGGTTGGTGAAGGTTTAAATCAGAGAGGAGCCGTAAACTTTTCCTGAGGGATTGAATTTCTGATTTATTGCAAGAAAACCAAGAAGATAGACATTTTGAAGCTTGTTCAGGGCTGTAGAATTCCCACTTTCTCATGGATTTCACGTCAAGAGCAAGTGATGTGTCCGTCTGCGAGTAATACAGAAACCTTCTGGACATAAAAAGGGTATTGATTACCAATAAAATATAGGCCTAACTGTAATTATCATTAGTTCCAGCTTCTATTTCCCATTTCCTTTACAATGTGGTGTCTAGAGTATCAATAAGTCAAGTCCCATACAGTTAAAAAAATGATCTACTCTCTTCTCTATGTTACGTAAAACTAAGTTCAAGATGTGGTTTTTTTAGCTTAGTAAAGGTGCACGTTTTTGTATGTTCAGTAAAAGGTCAGATTTTACTCAGAAACTTGTCTTTGTTTGTCTATTTTTAAATCATAAATTCACAATTTTAGATATTTAAAAATTAGGATGTACTAAGTTCATAAAGTCATTATGTCAGCTTATTTCTTAGTAGCATTAGGCTATCTAATAAGAAAATTAAAACAACCTATTGGAGGAAATGCAGGATTATTTTAGGCTAAATTGCACTTAACTGCCCTATAGTTTCACCAACCTTGCATTTAAGTGACCCCTATTTTAAAACAGAGCAAATAAATGACCCAAAGAATTTAAATATTGCAGATAGATGCCCAAGTTAAAAATATACAGATGGTGTTAACTTCTCTATCTATTCAAGAATATCACATAACAAATGGTACTAAAGTGCAATTTTTAGAAACTTTAGCGTATTTAAGTGAGACCATTTACAAACTGACGGCATTTATATGCAATATTGGGTATACAAGAGGGCACCAAAATGCAATATTTTGAAACTTTTGGGCATCTATCTCCAAAATTTAAATAGTTTGGGGGCATTTATTTACTAGTTTTTAAAATAAAGGTCACTTAAGTGCAAGGTTGAAGAAAATATAGGACATTTAAGTGCAATTAAGTCATTATTTTAAGAGAACCTATAAGATAGTGGTCATAGAACTCAGATTCTGTTTAGATGCAGCTATATGTCTGGCCTTGTGAATGGCATCTAAAGAACATTTAGTAAGTTGTTTAAGATGCCTACTAACTTATTTCATTTACTTATTTCAGGTCAGCTTTTTGTCAATACCCCTAAATTTATTAAGTTACTTAAATTAAGACCACCATTTCGAACAAATATGAGATTTGGGGGCCTAATTTAGAAACATGAAGATTGAGCATCTAAGTCAATATAAAATTAACAAAGATCTAGGGGCTAATATGAACAAAACCCTTTCAGGTCAATATTTTCCTAGAGTAATTACACCATTTAGGTGATGATGCTGGTACCTGGAGTTCATTTAGATAGTTGATACCGTGCACATCTTTCCACGCCACTTCAAACACAAGGAACCCATGAAGAGCTTTGCTAAGATCCATAAGACACTTAGGCTGCCATTTTGTAGAATAAATAACAGGAAACCACCAGTTAATTTTCTTTGCTTTTGCATGATATTCTTCTTGGCCATCATTCATTCCATTTTTGTTTGATGACCTGTTTAGCGCCCTGGTGTTTGTGAATGGTGACATTCTGTACTGAAAGAAAATAAGCAAAATGAGGAAGAGAGAGAGAGGAAGATAATCAATTTTGAATAAATTTAAGCAAACCCCAAAATACTTCGGGGTGTTCCCCACTAAACACCCCCAATATTTTTTCCCACATAACCCCCAAAGTAACGACAATGCTGCTCTGACCAAAAAAATCAAATTTCTCATTATCTCTAATGCATTTCTTTTGCAAAACAAACCCTCACAATATCTTAAAATTTGTCGGCGGCGACGGGTACGGTAGGAATTATGTTCGTTTTGCGAAAAATAAAAATATCCAAAAGAATGAAGAAAAGAATATTTTTGGGCCCGAAAGGCATTTTCATCACTTTAGAAATTATGTGGAAAATTTTTTAGCTTTTAGTGGGGAAAACAAAGTTTGAGGGTTTTCATGGGAGACGCCCCCAAACTATTGGGGGTTTTGTGAAATCTATCCACAATTTTAGATCAGTAGGGCAAGAAGGACAGACCTTGGTGACCATTAACTGCCATATCCTTGCTGATTTTGAGTGATTGTTCATCATCCATGGCCGGTTGTCAACGAGAATGAGCACTCTATTACTCCCAGGAGCAAAATACAAAAAAGCCCATGAAACATATGCTTGTATATCCCTGCAAATATATACATAATATGGGAGGTCACAAAAAACTAATAATGGGATCTTAGATCACCACTCCATCCCCCATTATGTGGCCAAACGAAGTTGTAGTGGCCCAGAATCCTTTTAACTATCCATGCACTATAAGCAAAATCCTGAAATTACATAGAATTTGTTGCTCTAAAGGGCATGTAAAGACTTCAAAAGTTGGCAAAAATGTGTGCAATAACTTAAAGTAATGTGGTGTACTATCTATTAGTTTGCATATTGTCAAAGGTCCTTGCTACAACAAAACTCCAAAGTTATTGTGAGGGATGAGGGATACAATTTTCTATTGTACCATGCCCCCGCAGATTGAGCGTCAGTTTTATGGACCTGGATTCACACAACGGTTTCAAGATTTCGAGAATCTGTTCCAAATTCATGGCCATTGGGATTTGAACCTGGGTTCCTTTAATAGCACGTCAAATTTCCCTTTCACTACACTGAAACTACAAAATCATTCTAATCTTTGAGGAATGTAATTTTATATTTTAACAAACATGACTAACATTTAAAGAATAAATACTTAAATATTATTAGAAGAAATAAGATTGTATGCATAATTGAACTCATGGCATTCTACATGTCAAAGCTCTCCCAGAAATTTGTTTAAGTAAAATATTACTTTAATGAAATTCAAGACTTAATATATCACAGTTTTATTTAAATTGAAGTTACCAAGCGTAAGAAGGAAAAACTCACCCAATTTGTAAACCTGTCAAGGGATAGAGTTCTGGCAGGATTTCCATCCCTAAACGTGATTTTGAAACATTTCTCAGTCGTTGTTAGCTCCAAACCTTGAAATATAAATGAGACATGAGGGAATGAATTCTTCAACAAATCTGAATTTTTTTTCAAATGAATTGACAATTTAAAAGGAAAATATAAGACTTATTAATTATTATGTTCCTTGTCTTTCTCCACAGATTGATCAAAAGCTTAACTAAAAACCACAGTGATACAACAACATGAGACGAAAAGCATCTCAGAAGTAGAAACATGTCTTCTTTTTTGGAATTGAGTTATAATATACTTGGACTACAAATTCTACATTAATTATTTATGAAGACACTCAAAGGAGTCACAATTATAACCTATGTTGCACAGCTGTAGGTGCAAGTGCAGGTGCGGGTGTAGAGGTGCGGATACGAGACTCGACAAATTTGTAAATATAGGATACTGGTAGGGGTATAAGTGAAGTAAATATTTGACAACTAATTCAGTTAACCATATGTATATTTGATTCATCTAATTATTAAATACTGTTAATATTTTAAATTTATTTAATGATAGATTAGTCATTTTTAAAAATATTAATTAGTTTAAATTGAGGCATAAACTTCAATGAATGAGGCAACTTAGAGGGGAAATCAATAATTATGAAGCTTCAAAGGGAACATTTACAAATGTATACAATTTGAGGGGTCTACGTGCAAAATCGTCAGACAAATTAAAGAATTAAAATTAATAGTTAAAATTATGGCTATAGTAGGGCTCGAACAAAGGACTAGCAGTTCAGAAGGCAAAGCTCTTGATCATATGGGCAAATTCGTTAAGTATTGTCAAATAAGAATTATATAGCCGAACCAAATTTCGATATCATTAATGTATTCGACCCGAATTCTAATTCAAATTCTAATATTAGAAAACCAATCAAATTCAAGTTCAAATATAGTGATATCTGATTTGGTTCGGTCATTTTACATCCCTAGATATAGGGACGTGGCTACATATACACATATTGAATTGACACTTTATATGAGATCGATATTGTTTTGTCATGCACATATTATGAGAAATAAACTTCCTACAATTTTTTTATATTTCTTTTATTGAGTAGATTATAAAATGGAAAATTGCTTGTTTTTTAACTAGATACCAAGTCAACCCTTTAAAATCTTACTTACGAACTGGGAATGGATGAAACTTGAAATGAACCCAACCTGAGTCCAACAACTTGTAGAAGTTTGAGATCAAGTGAAAGATAGACATCCAACAAGTGTTCACGAGTGTTTTAAACTAAAACATTAAACATATACTATATAATTGGGTACATGTCTGAATAAATGTATGGATATATTCAAGAAGTGTCCAAGGAGTATTGGACACGGACATGGATACATGAAGTGTCGGACATGGATGTGGGAGATCAAATGAACTGTCCAGTTAACTTAGGTTATATCCTTGCTACTGAAGCATATACGCATGAAGAAGAGGTGGATAAAAGAAAACTTTCAAACTAACAAAGAAGAAATGAAAGAGAAGAAGAAATATTGTGAACTCAGAAGTTTTAACACTTTCATTTGAACAAAAATCTACAATATATGTAGTATAAAAATTATGAGATTAAACAAACACAAAGGCATAATAACTAATAGTGAAAGAAAAGGCATCTATGATCATAAATTATTGAACAGACATTTCTACAAAAAATCAACAAAGGAGCAAGAAGGTAGCCCCCTAATACAAAAAGAAAAAAGAAAAAGAAAAACTTTACACTCTAAATCATAAGCAGCCAGATGAACTTTGCAACTAAACCTAAGATATACTTAGACATTGAAATTAGCCACAAGGCTATTATAATTTTGAAATTGAACGGTAAAACAAAAAGGAAATAGAACCTGCCAACAATTAAGGTAAAAACAAGTGTAGTTCATCTATAACACTAATAATAATAATACACACCTTATGTAGGATAGTTATTGCATCATTGGTGATTATCCAGTTGCCTCTTGCTTCAAGATAAAAGATACTAGATAGTGAGTGTAAACTATCAAGGAAGACACGAGAAGTTTCTTAAAACAAAGAGCCGATGTGAATCAGATAAGTGCAAGGAGAGTACAATGATGTTCGAATAAAAGAATCCAACAAAATTCTCACAAAAGGAACCTGTGGATTTTCCAGCACATAGGTGAAATATTCTCCTGATTGATGTATTCCTAATTATTCCATGTTATCTGATTGCCAAACGATTATGTACACATTAATTTATTGATTACTCTTTGCATGTTCATGGACTTTCACATCTTATGCATGGCATTGGTGGCATTAGTCAAATCGCATCAAGTTAGGTTTAGCTTTATGCAACCAAATCTTCAAGGTTAATACAACAAATCCTATCCATAGTTCCCTGGGGTAGGAATTTGGTATATAGACTCCAAACTCATTAAGGGTACATCAAACTGAAAGATTCTTTAACATAGGTCAAAAACTACTTTCACACAATCTAAACAAGTTCCAAACATATAAAGGACACCATGGACTTCAGTTAACTGGATTCAATTGAACTTTCAGAATCTTTCGTTGGTTTAATAATATAAACTATGGATGTTAATAATGAAGGTTTTTGTTTTGTTTTTCATATTAATGGAGATTCATGAGGTATGTAGTGCGTCATGTACATCATGTATGTCGGTTTTTGTTTTGTTTTTCATATTAATGGAGATTCATCAGGTATGCAGTGTGTCGCCTATATCATGTATGTAGGTTTAGGGCCTGTTCGTTTGCCAAAAAAAAAAAGGGAAATCAAAGAAATGGAAAACTATTAAAATGAAGAATTGTTTTTGGAGTGTTTGGTTGGCTAAAAAAGAAGGAAATCAAAGAAATGAAATTGAAATGATGTTAGTTGTCACCTTATTATTGGATGATGTTTGTGATTTTTTAAGAAAACTAGTTTTGGAGTGTTCGGTTGGCGAAAAAAAATAAGGAAATGAATTATAAGAAACTTATTTCCTGTAGTTTCTTGTTTTCTTTTGTTCGGTTCATTCTTAAAAATAAGAAATGAAATGAGATGAGATGAGTTGTCATTGGATTATTGGGTGATGTGAAGAAAGATTAAGAAAAGTGTTTTCATAACTTTTTGGGATGAAAATGAAGAAATGAAATGTTAATGAGATGAGGTGAATTGTTATAATATTTTATTGGATGATGTGAGTGATTTGAAATGATGAGAAGAGATGAGTTGAGTGATGTTTGGATGAAAATAATATTTTATTAGATGTGATGGATGAGTTGTTAGATAAAAATAATATTTTATTAGATGTGATGGATGAGTGGTTAGATGAAAATCATATTTTATTAGATGATGTGGATGAGTTGTTGGATGAAAATAATATTTTATTGGATGTTGTGGGTGAGTTTTAGGGATGGAAATGGAGGAAATGGTGAGTTTTGAGATTTTCACCATTTCCATTTCCATTTCTTGGTTTTTAGAAAACAAACGAACAGGCCCTTAGCGTATTGCCGACATATTTTGAAGCATCACATCATGTCTAGATTCTTGTAAGCAACCAATTTAGCATGTTCAAAGACATAGGTATATGATAAATAGAAAGACCATGACCATAGAAAAAAAAATGAACAATTCTATAGTTTCTTTCAAATCTGCGGATGAAAATGATAGTCCAACCACAACACTAAATTAGAGAATATGTTCACAATTCAGATAACATTCCACCATCAAAAGGAACAGAATCCAATTCCCAATAAAAGCCAATTCCATATATCCTTTAGACTTCAATATTCTCACGCAAACAATAATTAGTCTTGAAGAAATCAAACAAAACATGAAATTTTAAGACAGACCCAGATCGAATCACATCAAAACTCCCCCAAATTCAAAAACCCAAGAAGGGAAAGGATGCATACCCCAATTTCGCAGTGGCGTTTCCGTTGAATTGGGAAAGAAAGGCGCCAGAAATCTAGAGAGGGGTTTAAAAGGACGGCGACTTTGACCGAGAGATGGATAGAAGGAGAGAAATGGGACTAAAATTGGAGGCGGGATCAGAGAGAGGCGCGAGGAGCCTCTCATTTTTTTGCTCCGGCGGTTCGCTGCCATTGATTTCCTCGGCCTATTTGGGTGGGATTCTTTGTTCGGATGAAAACGGGTCGGGTTTGTTTCAAGAATCCAAACCCGTGAAATTTATGAATTCGTCCACTGTTAGCAGAGCATTTTAAGAGGATGTTTAGGGTGCTTGTTTTTAGAAAATTTTAAACTATATATGTCATAGCTTTTGAATTTTATGACAAAAAGTATTCACTTAGCTAATAATTAAAGTACATGTTTGATGAATATATCTGACAAGTTATGTTGTTGTAAAACTGATAGTTGAATGAAAATGACTAAATTCTTCAGAAGAGAGGGTTACGGCGGGCAAGAGAGCCAAAATGAGGGGGAAATAAGAATATTCAAGTAATCATTTGTTTGGTGAAATCTTATTTTAAAATAATCATTGGCTTGGTGAAATCTTACTATAAATTAGTTGAGATGATAAACTCACTTTTCGAAAAGAATAATTCTTTTGGACAAAAAAAGGGACAGCTTAATAGGACTGGAATTTTTTCTGCTAAATTTATTATACTAGGTTTTATGCACGAGCAGTGCACGTTGTTAAATACCATTATTTAGTATATTTGATTTATTTCCTTACTAAAATTTATTTCTCCGTTCTATTTTGATGGTTTTTGCTCACTTATATCTCTAAACTTTAGCATTGTGATTATTTATTTTCTTTAATGTTCGTTTAAATAAGCTACACCTAATTTAAATTTTCATGTTGATAATTGAATTGATAGGAAATAAATATAATCAAAGCCAGTTTGAATTATCATATTATTTGGACCGACATAAAATCAAGCTTAACTAGAGAAAGTATAGTTTTAAAAAGTAAAAAACACTTAAAAATAACATTATAAAAGGAGGATGGATAATTAGAGCTAGTAAAACAAGATGGTTGTTTAAAAGTGGGCTAAAACAACACGAAAGAGACTATGAAGTTTGTTCCTAATCCTTTATAGACTTCAAAAAATCATAAACTAAAGATTGATGCTAACGCTAGCACACTTTTACATGATAAAAGCATCCACATAAGCATATAAAAATTCTAAAAAAAAGTTAATGAAAATCTCTTCTATAGATTCCTAATTTACTAAAAAATAAACTATTCTATAAACTATTCATAAAAGAGTGTCTTTCATTCATTCTGTTTCATTTTTTTCTGAACCAACATCAATCTTTCTTCACATTTATCTTTTTCGATAAAATTAGACTACTTTTAGATGCTAAAAAATGTCAGTAAACCTTAAATTGGAAGCTAGATTTATATATCCTAATTAAAGAGAATCAAACAACTACTCTTTTATTTGCTACGATTTGAAAATTTAGTCTTTTTTGGTGATTTAAAATTTTTAAGGGTGTGTTTTGCAAATTTTAAACTTTGAGAGTATATTTAAAAAAAATTAAATTTTACGTTACATGCTTGTAATTTTCATATTTCATATGTTAGTGGTAGGTTTTCGAATATCAGGATATTTCTTACACTTCTAAAATTTTAAGGGTGTATTTTTGTAATTATTGAAACTTTAGATTGTTTGTTATAAAATTTAAATTTTTAGCGGTGTATTGATAATTTTCAGATTTGATATATACTAGTTATAAGTGTTGAAACTTCATGTTTTTGTGCTTTTAAACTTTTAAGAGATTTTTTTGCAATTTTATAACTTTGAGACCATTTTAACAAATTTTAAATTTTTAGATGTCTGATGGTAAACCCTTGAATTCATTTTTACTAGTTTTAAAATTCTAGAATTTCAAAGTGCCTTTTTATTATATAAACTTAGAATGTTTCTACAATTTTTGGAATGTCGAGGGAGTTAATTATAAAATTTAAATTCTATGTAGGCTGCTACTAATTTTTAGATTTCATGTTTATTATTTTAAGTTTTGAAACCTTAAGTTGTTTTGTGCAATTTTGAACTTTTAAGAGTATTTTCTATAATTTTTAAAAATTTTCAAATTTTTTGTAATACTTCATATATTATTGCATATTAGTTCTTTACCTTAACAAACTAATACAGTAGAGCTATTTTATTAAAAAATTTTAAAATTATTAAGCTGTAGGTAGTTCATATGAAATTAGGATAAAATATAGTTATAAAGAATAGGTTAAGATTTAAACAAAATATTCAAAATAGTGCATAGTAATATTGACCATGGAAAGCTTTTCTTTAACTCGTACTTTAAAAGGGAACTATGATTTTTTCCCTTTTCTAAGTTGGATAAATTAAAGAACAAATAAGGGTAATCTTAGAACTTTGAGATTAATCTCTTTCTTCTTCTTGCCGATGTTTTCCTTTGGTTGTTTTTTAGTCTCTACTAGGGCTGTCCAAAATAGCCCGCGACCCGGGCCCGGACCAGAGCCCGGCCCGGGCCCGGCCTCGGCCCGGAAACCCGGGCCAAGTTTGGGCTCCGGGCCGGGCCCGGGCCGGCTCTTTTGTGCCCGGCCCGGATTAATTTTTTTTATTTTTTGTTTTTATGTATTATATTATATATGTATAATATATGTATATATAATATATTTCTATATGTGTATAATATGTCATATGTGTGTATATATATACTCTCTCTTAGTATATAAGTATATATAAGTATACTCTCTCTTATATAAGTATATATAAGAATACTCTCTCTTATATATGTATAATGTATGTATGTATGTATATATATACTCTCTCTCTTAGTATATATGTATATATAAGTATACTCTCTCTTATATATGTATACTCTCTCTTATATAAGTATATATAAGTATACACTATCTTATATATGTATAATATATGTGTGTATATATATATATATACTAATATACTCTCTCCATTAGTATATATGTATATATAAGTATACTCTCTCTTATATATGTGTGTGTATATACTCTCTCTCTTAGTATATAAGTATATATAAGTATAGTATATTACAACGGCTACTTCTTCCCCATTGGCCCAACGGGCAACGGCTACTTATGCGATTCTCTCTCTCTCAAATTATAACTTATAAATATATACAATATATTTACATATAATATATGTCTATATAATATATAGTTACATAATAATTTGGAAGTATATAATAATACATAATTATATAAAATATAATAATATTAAACTAATTGTTAGCATTTTTTTATCAAAAAAAAAGAAAAGAAAAGAAATTTAAAAAAAAACCTAGTTGGGATGTACTTATCTATTGTGATGCGATGAATTCCAAAATAAATTTATACTTGTAATTTGTAAATGATTTATTAATTATTAATAAAGAATTTATTTTTATAATTTTTTATTTATAATTTATGTCATTTTAAGTGATTAATAAAATTATTGTTTTTTTAATTTTTTGTCTTTTTTTTTATAATTTAAAATATAAATAAAATTTAAAATTTTGATAAAAAAAGAAAAAAAACCGGGCCGGCCCGGTACCCGGCCCGGTCGGGCCCGGGGCCGGGCTCCGGCCTAGTCTCTACCAAGGTCGTAACTTTTCTTTCTAATTCATCTTCTACCATAAGGCTCAAAATTTTCTTTCTATTCCATCTTCTACGTTTGCTAATAGAATGATCAAATAAACTTGGTTTTATTTTGTACATGATTGTGCCAAAATTGGAACCATATATTGAACAAATTGATTTTTCTTGATTGATTTAACGATGAGTTTATTATTTTAAACTAGTATTTTAGCCCGTTTAAACAAGGTCATACCTCAATAATTCAATTCTCTATCACTCTTAATGAATTACACAGAACAGCGCACATCATTTAATATTTATTATATGGTAACTTTTATTTTTCATATTCTTAATTTTTAATTTAGTTCATATTTTTTGAAACAAATACCTTAGCGGACCCAAATATGGGGGGGGTCGGGGGGGCACGGGTGTGCTCCTTGAATGCATGATGCAATATTCATGAACAGGACATCATGCATTTGTATGCGAGACACCTCACCCCTACCACCCTTGCCCACCCTCCCCCCCTATTTCGTTCCCTATAGCAGCACCCTTTTTAAAATACATATTCATTAAGTAGATAATTTAATACAAATAAATCATTAATAAACTTTGTCATCTAATTAGATAATATGAGTTTCTGTAATCCATAGTGCATATATGTTTTAACCCATTATTCAATTACACTTATTTATTATATAAATGGTATGTTTTAGAGTTTCAAAAAGGCAAATTAACCATTCCTTTTGGGAATGCAAATGCAATTAAAGTTCCATAAATACTTAACTACCTTTCTTTAACCATGACTGATCAAACTTATAAACCTCTCATGCTCAGTTCTACATCCTATCCTATCTGTTTAAGACAAAATAGCTAAATTGGTATATTTTGTTGATTCTCGGTGACAGATTGATATATATTTTTTTATTTTGACAAATTGGTATATTATATGGACTTCGGCGCCAAATTGGTATATTATCTGGACTCCGGCGCCAAATACCCCTTAAGTTTGGCCGGATCCAAATTTTCTGGCCAGTTTTCTCACGTGACGGCTCACGTGATGCCCAGCTGACGGGATTTATTGTACAAAACTGTTAGCCTTCTTGGTTTGATGATGATTTAACAAACAATTTACGACTAATATTGGTTTTAGTATTTTGTTTTGTGTTGTTTAATATACGCATGTAAATGAGCTACATTGATATTGAAGCCTATGCAAATCAAGTCAATCAATCAAGTTCAAGCTTCAGAAGATTCATTCTTGGTATACTTAGTATAGGTTTATATATATTGAGTGCAATTCTTTAAGCTCAATACACACACACACACACATACACATACATTTGTGATTTTCTCAAAACATAGGTACTTTTATGCAAATTCTATGTTAATATGTTTTAGACTATATTATACATCATAAACATCTTTTATTATGTCTATATAAACATTACACAAGTTTTTAAAACTTGATTTGAGCTAAATGACAAAATCAACATGTTTATAAACACATATATTTTAGTGTTTTTAAATATTTTTGAGATTTCACAAATGATAAGAGCAAATTGAAATATTCCTTTTTCAACATGTTCATATACATGTTTATAAACTTTTCCCAAAGTTTTATATTTTTTTAGAATTTATTTGCTATTTTTAAGGCTCTTCAAAGTTGGTTTT